TTTTTTTTTTTTTTTTTTTTTTTTTTTTTTTTTTTTAAAGGTTAACGGTTAACCCTGTTTTCAACCCAGCTAACGGATAAGTGATTGACTCTTTTAGCGTTCGGATATGTTGTTGTGTCAGGAGTGCTTAAGGCGATGCTATGAACTGCTCACTGAACGAGTGCCCATCTTTTTCTTCCCGGAAGGAACTCGGTCAAAAGATGGAAAGTTGGGAAAGTTCAAGGTATGTAATTTTGTCTTCAAGCTCGTTTCATTTCTCAAGAATCTCAACCCATAACTACTAGACTAGTATTAGGATTGCAATGTGCTGTTATTGTTGTTTTTCCCCTTAAGGACTAAGGTTACATAATGTAATGTACGGCATTGTACGGCATTGTACGCAGCACTTCCTTCCATTTGTGGCCAAAGCACCAGGCGGCTGGAGCTCGGGGCAGAGATGGAGGGAGGATTGCAATGTGTTCATCTAGGTCCTCCCCTTTATGCAGTATTTTTATTTTTTTACTGTTTATCAATCAGCATTGCCCCTCTTTATTAAGTAGCATTGCGCCTCTTTATTAAGTAGCATTGCCCCTCTTTGTGGAGCAGCATTACCCCCCTTAATTAGGAAGTGTTTCCCCTCTTTCTTTTTCTTTTTTTAATTAAGCAGCACTACCGTGGAACACGCTTCGTTGTTATGTGGAGATGTCACCCAAAATCTGAAAAAAATGAATAAGGTCTGATGCGTTTTTTTAACTTGTTTTTTTTGTTCGATTCGGCATATAATTTACGGCTCGGCCATCTGGCTGCGCCTCATACTCTCTGTACAGCCTGGAAAGTCAGTTCCCTGGGGTCTCTCCCAGGGCAATCAATGCTGTCGGGGCCAGTGTTCTGGCATGATGTAAGTGGTCAAGGGACCAGCTGCAAAGAGAGGGCTGAGCAGGGGTATATCCTTCCAACAAGGAAGCAATCAATGCCGCTGTCTTGGGATCTCCCGGCCATAACGGGGAGAAGCGTTGAGTGGGTGATGCTAAAAAAAATAAAAAATAAAAAATAAAAGAGGACGTAAAGCCTGCGGCTTCTTGCTGTGGGAAAAAAAAAAAAAAAAAACTGGAAGCTAGGCTGCCAAGGAAACACACGCACTGGAATTGCAACCAGTGGTTAACAGTTTGAGCAGCCCGACTCGTCTTCTTTTTTGAAATGACCGGTTGGGCAGTTCGTTTATTTGAAATTATTTTCATCATTCTGGTCCATCATGACAAGAAGAAGGAAAAATGGCCACCGACTGTGAAGTTGTATGAATCACTTCCAGAAATATTTCCCCTTTGCATCCCTGCTCCCTGCTTGACCTTGACTGACCGATCGAATGTGATATGGAATGCGGAAGGGAGCTTTCACACTTCCTTTGCATCCCTGCTTGACTTTGACTGACCGATCGAATGTGATATTGGAATGCAGAAGGGAGCTTTCACACTTGCCGTGAAGGCCAAGGTTCCGGTCATCCCCATCACCCTTATTGGGACAGGAGAGCTAATGCCCAGTGGGAAGGAGAACACACTCAGACGTGGGACAGTGAAGATGATAGTCCATCCGCCTATTGTCGGCGATGACGCTTTGGAGCTCTGCAACCAAGCAAGGGAGGTGATCTCCACGACATTGCTGGCCCACGAAGCATTGACATTGACCGAAGAAATCCATTCATAAGACGCCGCCGTCGCCGCCGCTGCGGCCGCCGCCGCCGCCTTGAAGCACGCCTTCATTCTTGTAACGGTTCTATCTTTTTCTTCGGTCTGCTTGCTGGCAGATCCTTTGTTATATCAGCCTTTTTTTTTCTTTGCCTGTTCATTCTGAGGGCATACTCGCACCAGGACTTTTTTTTAGTTATTTATGGACGCAAGTGTGGTCGGATTCATCCGGGCCCGGCTGCAAATGCAGTCAGATGCATTTAAGATAGAGCTGGTGTGCGTACGCCCTGATTTCAGTAGACTGGTGGACCTACTGAACGAACGTTTTTGCTAGGGATTTGCTGATAGCACAATTATTCAATATTCAATATTTATTACATATACTATTTCATAGGGAAGGTTTGGTGACGTCTCCTGGCTTTTTTTTTTTCACAAGAGGAGGACGGAGGTGGTTAATTATTATTATAGAGTAGTTCAATCATAGAATGTGTTCGTCCCACATCTACTGTGATGGTCTGTTTGAGAGAGAGGATCGGCTTTGTTCATTCTTTTCCCTTTCTCTCTTTTTTTTTTTTTCCTGACACCGCTGCCGCTTCAATTCACCCACACTGACGCAGTCAGTCATGCTGTGCAAAAAAATGCTATAAAGATTTCCAAAAAATCATTAAAAATGTAAATCACAAATGTGATCAGGTTAGTTACTGATCACAGAGACTATGCAATGTGATCGCGCTGATCACATCTCTCTTTGGTTGAGAGAGAGAGAGAGAGAGAGAGAGAGAGAGAGAGAGAGAGAGAGAGAGAGAGAGAGAGAGAGAGAGAGAGAGAGAGAACTTTACATTGTAGGTTTTGGAAGTAGGATGCGTTGTACGGGATTTTATTTTATTTTTTATTTTTTTTTTCTTTTCTTTTCAAGAGCCAGTCGCTCAG